TATATATTATGTCACTTTCATTACATGTAACAGCCTAAATAGTGCCATTTCTCAGCGTACTTTTAAGTTCACAGAATCCGCAAAGCATTATAGACATGAACTAATGTACAGTAAACACATGCTGTGTCTACTGTACTTTTTATTGAGTACTTTCCGCTTGCCGCACATCTGGATTTAGTGTTCTTTAGAGGGAAATTAAATATCCAGTAAAATGTATACAATTTATAATATGACCAGGCAAATCTTACAGTTGCTATACCCAAGTTGTCTGTTGACATTCTTGTTTTAGAAAGGGCAAATCTTTATTATTAGTTTGCCCATTAATCCTGTGTATGACCTGTGCCACTGCTTTACGTGCTTCCCTTTACATGCATTTGCCAGAACTCTGATACTCGAGCAGTGGTCTCCAAACTGCAGCCCGGGATCAACGGCAGCCCTTTGCTTGCCTTTGTCCAGCCCTTGGGGCACTATTTCTCCATCAGATACAAGGCACTACTCCTTTCACTAACATCAAGAATGGGGCACTATTCCTCCTCCTAACACTAATGATGGGGCACTCTTCCTTCCACAGACACCAACAGTGTAGCATAATTCCTGTCACTGACACCAACAATGGGGCACTATTTCTCCTACTGATATCAATGTCAGAACACTATTTCTCCCACTGACAGCAGAGATGGGGCACTATTCTTTCACCTGACCTGATACCAACAAGGAGGCACTATTCCTGCCATCAATACCGATGAAGGGGCATTGTTTACTCCCATTGATATTGGGGCATTTTTTGCTTACACTGGCCACAGTCTGGCCCTTTAAATGTATGAAGGACAGACTTTGTTTAGAAAGTTTGGAGACCCTTACTCTAGAGGAATTTATTCTCAATCCTCATTTACAATTATCTTTTGCATCCGCTGATTCAGTCTAAAGCAAATGCACCTTGATTGTCCTGCTTGTTATATACAGTACATGTCCCTTAATTAAACGAGTCGCGTTAGGAGAATATAGGGAGATTTGGGTTTGATGTATATCGAAGCTTAAAGTGATATTAAACCCTCAGTTTTAAGCACTTTCAGCAGCTGATTTAATCTCTTACTTGATATGCAGCTTCTTTATCTTTTATTATTTGCTAATGTTCCTGTTTTAAGTAGTTGTAAACTTTAGACATGAAATTTAAACAAAGCACATCTTTCTATACCGTCTATACTTGTCTATATCCAAAGCACTGAGTTTAATTTCTCTCTGCTGCCTTGTTTCTCTGCTATCAGCATGAGTCATTTTTGACAGGTTTTTCCCGACACCAAGTGCTAAAGAGGTGGCAGAACAGAGAGCTCCAGCACACAGCCTGTGACTGATATCCACAGTTCTGCATGGTCTCAGTTTATCTGTCTCTTTTTAGAATGATCTACAGAAGAAATGGCTGCAGATAAACATATATAGAAAGATTTGTTTCATTTCTATCATCAAATGCTAGTCAGTTCACTGGGTTTATGTGACGGTTTTCAACCACTTTAAGCTAGTACCATGAATGCTGCCCCAGGTTTCTTGTTTTAGAGTGGCTCTTTTCAGCACCCAAAAGGCAACCCTTGCATGTCGGGACTAGAGATGGGAAGGCCTGGAAGAAAAACTTAAAAATTGGGGGGGGGGGGGGGGGGGGGGGGGGGGGGGGGGGAGTGGGGGGGGGGGGGGGGGGGGAGAAATGTTGCCATTTTTTTCCAAAGTGTTTTTTTTTTTTTTTTGACGGAAAATGTAAAATAGAGTGTGGAATGTGTTCTTTTACAGTGATAAATAACATATCTATGACATGGTATTCAAACGTAATAATATGAAGACATTAATGATAGATTTCTAAGGCTTTATGTAAAGTCCTAAATTAATTGCAAGTTCTCTCAGCTGAAGACAAGCAAATCTTGGAATACAATTCAGGTAACACTGTACTTCTCATTGCAGTTCTCAAACAAGAGACATATTCATTTCTGCTGCTAGGGGCACTGCAGATGAAAGGCTTCAGTTTAGTTTTCTTGTGGGCTCCATCTTGTACCTCCTACAGCTTGAAGACTGTTGTCATACAGTAGATTATAGTTTCTGTTCTCTCAGGCCTTATGAAAATACCAAGAAATAACATAATGGGACTTTACTGGTACAGTATAGGACAAACTCGCATTTGTAAGTTTACACACTTATTAGAGTACATATTGAAGTAGTGACATTGTTTAAAAGTAATACATGGCTAACCAGCCTAAGTAGTATCGGCATTGTCTTCTATAGCATTGTATCCTCCAAAGGTCGACGCTTTTTAACTTCTTCAGGACCACAAAAATTGGAGGCGAAGAGATCAGTTGCTTTGGCTAAGAGAATATACATATATACACATACATAAATCATTAATCATGCTAAATAAATTATAAAAGAAACATAAACCTTAAACTGTGCTCTGCAAACTCACATATCGATATAGATGGGGATGCAGGGCATCAGCACCCATACAGGAAATCAACAAAGTAGTCTTGAGTGAGCATCCACATCCATTTTTCATCCTGATGTCCCAAATATAATGGTGTCCTATCCCAAAGGAAACCCACAAAAGTTGAAACAACAGAGAGAAACAACCCCAACAAAGGGGGAGAGATCAATAGAAGGGGGAGGGCCATAAGCCCAAAACATGAGAAACAATAAATCGCTTGGTCAGGAGACAAAGAGCAGAACAGTTCATATGTAGATTAATCCATACAGGGCATATTCCATAGATTCGCTTGTCTATATAATTTAAACAACAATACAAAAACAGTCAATCAAAGGTCCTTTTTACAGTGGGGCAAAAAAGTATTTAGTCAGCCACCAATTGTGCAAGTTTTCCCACTTAATAAGATGAGAGAGGCCTGTAATTGGCATCATAGGTAGACCTCAACTATGAGAGACAAAATGAGAAAAAAAATCTAAACAATCACATTGGCTGATTTGGAAAGAATTTATTTGCAAATTATGGTGGAAAATAAGTATTTGGTCACCTACAAACAAGCAAGATTTCTGGTTCTCACAGACCTGTACCTTCTTCTTTAAGAGGCTCCTCTGTCCTGCACTCATTACCTGTATCAATGACACCTGTTTGAACTTGTTATCAGTATAAAAGACACCTGTCCACAACCTCAAACATTCACACTCCAAACTCCACTATGGTGAAGACCGAAAAGCTGTCGAAGGACACCAGAAACAAAATTGTAGACCTGCACCAGGCTGGGAAGACTGAATCTGCAATAGGCAAGCAGCTTGGTGTGAACAAATCAACTGTGGGAGCAATAATTATAAAATGGAAGACATACAAGACCACTGATAATCTCCCTCAATCTGGGGCTCCACGCAAGATCTCACCCCGTGGGGTCAAAATGATCACAAGAACGGTGAGCAAAAATCCCAGGACCACACGGGGGGACCTAGTGAATGACCTGCAGAGAGCTGGGACCAACGTAACAAAGGCTACCATCAGTAACACACTATGCCACCAGGGACTCAGATTCTGCAGTGCCAGACGTGTCCCCCTGCTTAAGCCAGTACATGTCCGGGCCCGTCTGAAGTTTGCTAGAGAGCATTTGGATGATCCAGAAGAGGATTGGGAGAATGTCATATGGTCAGATGAAACCAAAATAGAGCTGTTTGGTAGAAACACAACTCGTCGTGTTTGGAGGAGAAAGAATGCTGAGTTGCATCCAAAGAACACCATACCTACTGTGAAGCATGGGGGTGGCAACATCATGCTTTGGGGCTGTTTCTCCACAAAGGGACCAGGAACGACTGATCCATGTACAAGACAGAATGAATGGGGCCATGTATCGTGAGATTTTGAGTGCAAACCTCCTTCCATCAGCAGGGGGATTGAAGATGAAACGTGGCTGGGTCTTCCAACATGACAATGATCCCAAACATACCGCCCGGGCAATGAAAGAGTGGCTTCGTAAGAAGCATTTCAAGGTCCTGGAGTGGCCTAGCCAGTCTCCAGATCTCAACCCCATAGAAAACCTTTGGAGGGAGGAATGGGCCAACATACCAGCAACAGCGTGTGCCAACCTTGTGAAGACTTACAGGAAATGTTTGAACTCTGTCATTGCCAAGAAAGGATATATAACAAAGTATTGAGATGAACTTTTGATATTGACCAAATACTTAATGTCAGGGCTCCGGGGTATGACCAGAGGTATGTGAACTGACGCAGGGAAACGCAGGCTTCAGATAAGTTATAAACAATATAATTTATTAAAGACTAACAATACAAACATAAACGCAGTGCAATACTAAAACATAACACAGTGCAAACGAACCAAACCAAACCACCCACAGATAACAGTACATACAATGCAAGCGTCGTCAGGCAGGCCGGGTCAATAACAATCGGGCAGGTAGGTACAGGGGGTCAGGCAGAGAATGGTCGGGGTCACAAGCCAGGGATAAAACAGGAGAAGTAAGCAGAGGTCCGGATCAGGCAGGGTCAGCAACGAATCAGACAGGGACAGGGATGCAGGAACAAGATACAGGGCCCAGGAAAAACACACACCAAGGCAGAGACTGCAGGTCTGGCCATCCCTTAAATACACCTGCATAATCAACTTCAGGTATTTGGCTGGCTGCAGGGTTGAGTCTCTGATTGCTGGAAGCACCCGCTGGCCAGCCCTGGTACTGCAGCCCACAAGGCAGGTGAGTCCCACCATTACTGGCAAGTCCATTCCTGACAGTACCCCCCCCTCAAGGAGCGGCCTCAGGACGCTCCAAACAGTCCTAGCTGGGCAAAATGTTCCACCGCCCGGGTCTGGTAACTGACGGGATATCAAAGACCGGCACATCGGGCAGGACTCCGGGCAGCTGCACACCGGGCAGGACTCCGGGCAGCGGCACACCGGGCAGGACTCCGGGCAGAGGCACATCGAGCTGGACTCCGGGCAGAGGCACATCGGGCTGGACTCCGGGCAGAGGCACATTGGGCAGGACTCCGGGCAGCGGCACATCGGGCTGGACACCGGATCACCAGGCGGAGCAGCAGGCACCGGGCCACCAGGCGGAGCAGCAGGCACCCGGGCCACCAGGCAGAGCAGCGGGCACCGGGCCACCAGGCGGAGCAGCGGGCACCGGGCCACCAGGAGGGGCGACAGGCATCGGGCCCCCAGGAGGGGCGGTGGGCGCGGGGCCCCCAGGTGGGGCGGCGGGCGCTGGGCCCCCAGGCGGGGCGGCGGGTCCCCAGGAGGGGCGACGGGCGTCGGGCCCCCAGGAGGGGCGCCGGGCCCCCAGGCGGAGCGGCGGGCGCCGGGCCCCCAGGAGGGGCGGCGGGCGCCGGGCCCCCGGGAGGGGCGACAGGCATCGGGCCCCCAGGCGGAGCGACAAGCATCGGGCCCCCAGGCGGAGCGGCAAGCACCGGGTCATCAGGCACGACAACGGGCATCGGGTCACCAGGCATCAGGTCATTTGGCTCGCCAGCGGGCACCGCGTCATCTGGCAAGGCAGTGGGCACCGAGTCACCAGGCACGACAGTGGGTTCCGAGTCAACTGGCATGACCACGGGCACTGGGTCAGACATTGGATCGTCTGGCTTGACAGCGGGCATCGGGTCACCAGGCATCAGGTCATTTGGCTCGACAGCGGGCACCGCGTCATCTGGCAAGGCAGTGGGCACCGAGTCACCAGGCACGACAGTGGGCTCTGAGTCAATTGGCACGACAGCGGGCATCGGGTCATCAGGTACCGGATCGTCTGGATCGACAGCGGGCATCGGGTCATCTGGCGTTGGATCGTCTGGCTCGACAGCGGGCATTGGGTCACCAGGCATGACAGCGGGCACTGGGTCACCAGGCATCAGGTCATTTGGCTCGCCAGCGGGCACCGCGTCATCTGGCAAGGCAGTGGGCACCGAGTCACCAGGCACGACAGTGGGCTCCGAGTCAACTGGCATGACCGCGGGCACTGGGTCAGACATTGGATCGTCTGGCCCGAAAGCGGGCTTCGGGTCACCAGGCATGACAGCGGGCACTGGGTCATCAGGCATGGGATTGTCTGGCTCGACAGCGGGCATCGGGTCACCAGGCATGACAGCGGGCACTGGGTCATCAGGCATTGGATCGTCTGGATCGACAGCGGGCATCGAGTCAACTGGCCTAATGGAATCATCAGGCTGGATCAGTTCATCAGGCTGGGTAGCAACATCATGCTGGGTAGAGCCATCAGGCTGAATGGAGGCATCAGGCTGAATGGAGGCATCAGGCTGGGTAGAGGCATCAGGCTGGGTAGAGGCATCAGGCTGAATTGTGGGCTACGAGGCACGAGGCTGCACCACGGAAGGCAGGTTCTCAGATGGGAGGCTGACCGGTTTGGATACTGGCAGGATGGTATTGGTTGGAAAGAACTTTCGCCTTTTCCTGGTTTTAGTTACCGGAGCACCGTAAGTAAGTGCAGGTTTGTAAACGGATGGAGCAGCTGGAGACAGAGAAGAGCTGGAGGATGGAACAGGGGAGGGAACAGTTGCTACAGAGGGCTTCTTTACAGGGTTAAAGGCAGGATAGGTGCAGCGAGTGGGAACAGGGTACTGACATGCGGTAGATAGCAGGGTATACTGGGCTGTAACTGGAGGTGCTGTTGGGAATGCAGGAATAGAGCTTTGAAGAAATAGATTAGAAGCAGCACTGGGTTTTTGCGAGCTGACTGAGGCTGGGTGCAACAAGTCTGACCATGTCTGCAGTATGGGTTGAACAAAGCTCAGCTTACACAAAGCCTGTCTGACCATAGACTGCACTGCGTTTATACAATCTCTTAGTACCTGTTGTGAACATGCAGAATAATGCTCCAAGAAGCAATCCACATCATCCTCTAATAACCATACCAGGGACTCTACCTGGTCTGCACTAAATGGGGGCAAAAATTCATCCCTGCATTCGGGGGTACCAGATGAAACCAACTCAGCACAAACCTGAATCAATGGCTGCACCTCAGAGAACTCTGTGCCCTGATCTACTAGGCAATGAGCGATCCGTATACATTCTAGCAGTTCATCCCTGGGATACTCCTTCAGAGTTTGATAAGCATACTCTCTGTCATCAAACACTAGCAGAGATAAATACACAACCTCATCAAGATCCATCCTTCCCAGCAACAAGCCAAGATGGCTTCCCTGGGCAGCCACTTCTGGTCAGGATTAGCCTTGGTGTAATGTCAGGGCTCCGGGTATGACCAGAGGTATGTGAACTGACGCAGGGAAACGCAGGCTTCAGATAAGTTATAAACAATATAATTTATTAAAGACTAACAATACAAACATAAACGTAGTGCAATACTAAAACATAACACAGTGCAAACGAACCAAACCAAACCACCCACAGATAACAGTACATACAATGCAAGCGTCGTCAGGCAGGCCGGGTCAATAACAATCGGGCAGGTAGGTACAGGGGGTCAGGCAGAGAATGGTCGGGGTCACAAGCCAGGGATAAAACAGGAGAAGTCAGCAGAGGTCCGGATCAGGCAGGGTCAGCAACGAATCAGACAGGGACAGGGATGCAGGAACAAGATACAGGGCCCAGGAAAAACGCACACCAAGGCAGAGACTGCAGGTCTGGCCATCCCTTAAATACACCTGCATAATCAACTTCAGGTGTTTGGCTGGCTGCAGGGTTGAGTCTCTGATTGCTGGAAGCACCCGCTGGCCAGCCCTGGTACTGCAGCCCACAAGGCAGGTGAGTCCCAGCATTACTGGCAAGTCCGTTCCTGACACTTATTTTCCACCATAATTTGCAAATAAATTCTTTCCAAATCAGCCAATGTGATTGTCTGGATTTTTTTTCTCATTTTGTCTCTCATAGTTGAGGTCTACCTATGATGCCAATTACAGGCCTCTCTCATCTTTTTAAGTGGGAGAACTTGCACAATTGGTGGCTGACTAAATACTTTTTTGCCCCACTGTATATGGAAATACACGTTTCTTGAGGAATTCAAAGATTCCAGCACTCCCTTCCCAAACACCTGTCTATCACTCCTACCATAGAAGGCAGGAGAAGGTGCACAAAAGATCCAATGCCCAGCCTCAATGCTTTATGATATGAATCCAGTCCTTCAGATAACCATGTGCATAAATGTGAAATAACTCCTTCACCAGTAACTCCTATAATGCAACAGAAAGAGCCATGCACAAGAGTCCCCCAATATCTCCTCTGCCTCTATTGTCAAACAATATATCTCATACCTCAGAACCCCTTCATATCATAATTCGCCAGCCGTGTGTGCTTTCCAATGGCACCGAGACCAGCGTCTGGTGGGGCGCTTAAATGGCATCACCCATCGGATGTACATCATCCAATGCCTTATGTCACTTCTGCCCTGGTCCAGCACAGGGTGGAAGCAAATCAACTCCACAATCAAAGCACACACAGTGCATGCCCGCCTACACTATAGCCCACAGCCCGGCTTCATAATACCACCTACGGTTGACAGCAGTAAAGTGGAGCAATGCTGGCCTCCACCGGTCCAGCTCCACCACCTCGGGAGACACTGGACAGAGGATAGTCCAGTCTTCCAGATAATATCCATGGCCGGCAGTTCCTATTACTCATAATATCTTTTACCAAAAGGGGGACAAAAAATATATTCCCTATAAACCACCATACAACCAATCCATATTTAGAACAATAAAAAGGCAAGGAATAAAATATAGATGCCCACTCAAGCCAGACAACCCAACATATACTGTACCATATACATCACCGTACCACAGCGCATATAACAGAGTACAATGCGGAGAACAGCTTACAATATATACACATAAGTAACATAAAGACAATAGAGCCTTATAAATCCTTATCATAAACTGGACATACAACACCAGCACAGATAACATAGCTGCATCCAAATATAACAAAATATGACAAAAGGGACCACTTTAACCTCCCTAGAAAGCCCACTCATAATTAATGTAATCCCACCCATATCTCTAACATTTCTTACAGAAAAGGTGTGTAACTTAATGCCTCATTTAGACCTGGAGGGGATGTTGCATATAAAGTGTAAATCCATCTTGCCTCCTTCTGTAACACTTTTTTTAATCAAAATTTCCTCCTCGGGGATCCTCCGATACCCTTTCTAGGGATGCGAAGCGAATCATATCTGTATTGTTACCATGTTTCAGGGCTAAATGCCTCCCAATGGGTGTGTACAACAAATTTCTTCTAATGTAATTGATGTGATCTTCGACATTTTTGGAAGAGAATATAATAGTTTTACCAACATAAAAGGTTCCACATTTGCATAACATAATATAAACTACGCCTTTAGTTTGGCAATCTATAAATTGTCTAGTCCTATGTATCGTTCCATTGGGTAGGGGTAGAGATGTTCCCTCTGTTATCCACGCACAATAATCGCATGATCCACATTTATATGTGCCCTTTCTGTCCTAAATATTAGGTGGTATATCACAAAAATTACTCTTTACCAGGCGATCCTTCAATGACTTAGATTTTTTGTATGTAATTTGAGGGTAGTCCTTAATATATTTATTCAAAATTGGATCCCCAGTCAGTAAATGCCATTGCTTCTTTATAGCATCTCTAATTCTCTGATGTTGACTTGAAAATGTAGTGACAATTGTAACTAAATCTTGCTGGTCCCTTTTCTTGTTTCCCAAATAACAGAGTATGTCTCTTATGTAGTTTAGCTTTGTTATAAGTCTTCTTTAATATCGTCTTAGAGTATCCTGTCCTTAAAAACCTCACTCTAAGGGCCGCTGCTTCTTTTTCAAACAGTTTCTCTGTTGAACAATTACATCTAATCTGCAAATATTGAGAATATGGAATACTTCTGATTAGTGGTTGAGGGTGAGCACTTCCTGCATGGAGAGTGGTATTCCCTGCCATAGGTTTTCTATATAGCGTAGAGCCCAATGTCTCATCCTCTTAGATAAAAAGAGATATATTCAAGAATGGAATGGTATTGGGGTCATGTTGTACAGTAAATTTAAGATTGTAGCTATTCTGTGCAAGCTCACTCATAAATCCCTCAAGAGACTGTACATCAAAATCCCAAATGAGAAACAATGTCATCTATATACCTATACCAACAGACAATGTTGGATAGGTATGGGGAAAAGGCCGCATTCAAAAAGAGGTTACGCTCCCACTCCCCCAGATACAGGTTCACATTAAAAATATAGGGCACAACAAGTCCCCATCGCCACGCCACCTGTACCTGGAGGGAGTGGAAGCCATCAAAGTAAAGACATTCCTGCTCAAGTTATGTCTAAGCAGTTGTAGAATAAAGGCATTAAAGGGTGCAGCTGCCATTTCTTTTTGGTTCAAAAAACACCCCACTGCAGACACCCGTAATTCATAGGGGATACTGCAATATAGGGCCTCCACATCAGTAGATACCAGCAAGCATCCAGATGGTACTGTGAAACTATCCAGCTTACGAAGCAAGTCTGGGGTGTCCTGGATATAAGACGGAAGAGTTTGCACATGGGGACGCAGATATGCATCCATCAGTTGACTACCCTTGTCTGCCTTAGCCCCTATTCCAGAGATAATAGGTCTGCCTGGTGGTTTCTCCATATTTTTATGTATTTTGGGAAGTTCATAAAAGGATGGAATCCTCAGAAAAGGAACTAATAGCACCTCATAGAGCTCTTTATCTATTGTAGTATTAGTATACATACATATATATATATATCAAACTCCTTATTGAAGATAAGTATAATCTCTTCAAAAACTGGCATATACCATTCCTTATTAGACAAAATATCAAGACACATCTGTTTATACGTTTGGTGGTCCATGACAACTACATTGCCTCCTTTGTCAGCCATTTTGATTGTAAGAGCTTTATTGTTCTGTAGCCCCTCAAGTGCTTCTCGTTGGGTAGATGTCAGATTACAAGTGTGCATCTGAGCCAGATCAAGCTTTTCTATTTCTTTAACAGTCTGGGTGAGAAATGTACAAATATTAGGATTAGTCTGCAGGGAAGAGAACTTAGAAGATTTCTTCTGAAGTTTCCTAGCCCCATTCCCCTCATTTGGGTGCTCAGCAGGGGCCTCAAGCCGCACCGCAGTAGATCCAAAAGTCACCGGCACGATTTGAGAACCACCTCCCTCCTCCAATAGAGGCGAATTGTCCTCTTTTCACTCAGAAGTTCCATAAGGTCCTTCAGAGCTAGAAAGTCTCTAACAGTGAATCCTTTCCATTGCTCCCTTTCCTGCACTTCACGTTTCTTTATTTTCCTTTCATTATCAAAAAGGTACTTATAAATTAATCTACAAGAAAACAGATTAAGATCCTTAACACA